ATAAACTGATCAGATGGTATAGGAGACAGCAGTTAGCAGCCAGGGATACTGCTATCACTGCAGAGTCCCTGGCTCTTGGTCAGAGCTGCCACTCTGATCTAATCACACTCACGCAGGAAACTAAAGCTTTTGCTTTAATCACCACCATTTTTCTTCCCTAGTGCTACCTTTTCCACATGTATGTGGGAGTGAGAGCAGGGGGCGGCATTGGTGATGAAATTGAAGACCCTGCTGGTGATCCTTATGAAATATACCGCATTGTCTTTGACATTACCTTTTTCTTCTTCGTCATTGTCATCTTGCTGGCCATCATTCAAGGTATGTTGCCCGTTATATTAAGTATGAACAAAATTTAACGAATCGAGTTTTTTTTTGCTTTTTTGCATCTATGACCTAATTGTTTTATAAAGAAGTTTGTGAATTCATTCACCGGTTAATTTAGTAAATTTGGAGCATTTACTCTTTTGAGGCCTTGATTACATAAAGTCAAATTTCACCCAGTCACTGTTACAAGAAACTTGAAAATCCCGAGCAGACTCCCTACTCTGAATTATAGCCTCATCACTACTTCTGCCTGGAGATCTGTGACTAGTCTTGCCTGGGTCTTTGTCCTCTTGAGATGGGGAAGAAACAGATAGGAGCTGTGGGAATGTGAAGGGTTTTTAATCATCTTTGGGGGGGGGGGATAAGAAGTAGTAATATTTGTCAACAGCTTGTCAGGAATTGGAAAAAGAAGATTAATTTAGTTTGAGTCATCCTGTGCAATATGCAGGTGTTAAGGGCCCAGAAGCAAAGACCCTGGTACACATCCAGGTCCGAGGGGCCAGTAGAAGTGGAAAAGCCCATCCCAAAGACTGAAACAAATGGCCAAGCACAACAGGAGAAGGAGGGGGTGGTGGAGAGGAGAGTTTCGAGGAGATGACAGCATCAGCGAGAAATGGTCAGCAGGGAGGCAGCACTTTGATAAATGGACTCTGCCACTCCCTCGAGATCACTATGCAGATTAAGATGCTAGGTCTTTGTTTTAAAATTCCAGGTCTTATTATTGATGCTTTTGGAGAACTCAGAGACCAGCAGGAACAAGTACGAGAAGATATGGAGGTAATACTCTAACTACTCATTCCAACCCTATTTTTATATTCACATAGCCAGATCTTTTTTTTAAAAAAATTGCTATTAGTTAGGGTCAGCCCTGGGCAAAACCATAAATGGTTTTATATGATTGTCTGGTGCCTGCTCTGTGCCCATCTACCACACTTCTGGGCATTTCTCCCCTGTGTACCTTCCCCCAGCCTGCCACACTGCTGCTTCCTCCACTGTCCCATGGTTGGAGTGAGCAGCATCCTCAGCTAACCAGGAGCTAGGCAGATAGTCAGTCATTTACTGCACAGTGCTAATAGCCAAAAGCACTAAAGAGAACAGCATTGTTCAACAGACCAGCCTTCTTCCTATAACTGCCTTTTCTGTTACTTTTCACAGACTAAATGTTTCATCTGTGGCATTGGCAATGACTACTTTGACACAACTCCTCATGGTTTTGAGACACACACATTACAAGAGCACAACTTAGCCAACTACTTGTGAGTATTCTTAATTAATCAAAGTGAATTCTACTGTCATATAACTAATTAAAACAAATAAAAAGAATGCCCAAACCATTTGTCCATATGCACTGCATTGCTGTCCCTGCTATACCACAGGCATTCCCAAGCTGTGACAAGACCCCCACCAATTTCTTTTTCCAGTGGAGTTTCCATGCTTTTCAATCCTAAAGAATGTCCATTTTTATTTCCAGCTCTTGTCCAGTGAGTGAGCAGCATCCTCAGCTAACCAGGAGCTAGGCAGATAACCTCCTAGGCTCCCTGTCTGTACTGTTTCTTTTACATTCTCCTGTGTACCCCTTACTGAAAGGCCTTCCTCCTCAAAGAGGCCAGTGATCTGTAGCCAATTTTCAGGCCTCATCATCCCATTAATACAACTCCATGAGAGTGGCATAATTCTGGGTGGCTATGTTTTCACACTGTCGTATCTGTACAGCAACATCTGGGCAACCCAAAGAAACAGTAAATGAATACATGGATTTCTTCTAAGGCAAAGGATTTGCTCAATAACAAGTTATTTGAGCCTACCATGTAATTATGTGATCTGATAGTTGACTTTATAACTGATCATTTTCAAGGACACAAATGCTCTGCTTCCTGACTTTGTCCTTCCCCACTCTGTCCTATCTTTTATTGTTTAGAAAGTCCTAATCTTTCTGTAGGAAGGAACAGGTCCAGCCTTTGGGAAAGTTAGATTGGAATTTCTATTTGTTCCTGTATATTCTCAGAACTTACATCTCAGTGGAGGTGATCAAGATACATGCCTAACAGGAAATGAGCACTGGCCTCAAGCTCGCATAGCGGGAGTACAGATGCATGTCGGTGGTGTTCCAGGTGGGGCCTCCTTGCTGAGACTTTTGTGGGATAGACTCCAATTACTTATGTTTGATCTTCCCACCTAAAATGATGCTTTTTCAATTTAATAAGTGTGCTAGGGGAACAGTGATGATGAAGACATGGCCCTGCCTTCTTTAGGGAAGGCGAAACTAACGTATCTAGAGCCATCCCTCTAAGTACAGCACCACCCTGAGAAGGATATTCTTTCTTCCTTGCCTTCAGCCTTTTCCTGAAGGGCACAAGGTTAGTTCCTTTGGAAATTGTCTCTGAACTTGCGTAATGTGAGCTGAGAGTTCAGCCCCTCAGGACACTCATGTGTCAGAGACGGACACAAATCTTCCACATGGATCATGGGTAGAACAAGTAAGACCACACTAGGATTTCCGAGTTGACCAGTATAAAAAAAAAACAAAACTAGATTTCTGGAAGCATGAACGCACCTTAAGGGGATCAAATACTTTCAGCCTTTTTCCTGCCTGACACCCTTGATGCTCACCTATGATTTCAGGTCTACATTTTCATTAGATAAATCAGCTGGTTAAAATTTTATGGTAAAAGGTTGGGCTTCCATTTTACTGTTTAGGATTTTCTTAAATGGTGGACAAAACTCTAAGCTCAAAGATTAGGGACGGTAAAGAGGTAGTTGGTAAGTGAACTTTGGTTAAGACACCTTTTTCTCATCATGTCTTTTTTCCTTCAGGTTCTTTCTGATGTATTTAATTAACAAAGATGAAACAGAGCACACGGGTCAGGTGAGAAATAAAATGCCCTTAAGAACCCTACCTGTGTTAGATCTTCCCTGAGTTTTAAGAGTCAATATCCAAAAAATGACCCCACTATTCTCTTGCATGCATTTTTTCCATCCCCTATCTGACTTAAAGAAGCCCGAATTCTATGGGGACCCTACCTATTTCCAGAGTCCTCCTGCTGAACACTGACATTTCCTAAACCATTGCTCCCACTGCTTCAGAGCAGAATAACTGGGGGTGGGGAGAACATTAGAGGAAATGACAATGAGAAATGGAGTAAGTGGCTGTAACAAAGAATAGGGGAGTCAGAGAACGACCTTGTGCGGGGGTGACAGTGGGAATGTGGAGGTGTGCGTGAAAGAGGACAAGTGAGGATACTTTCTGTGACTATGAGAAAAATAGAATAAGGGATGAAAACGGTTAGTCAATATCCAAACATCACTGGATTTGTAGGAAAACTACAGCTCCCTAAGTGAAGGAAGACATGGTGGGTACATAGACCTGCGCTCTCAGGCATCTGCCTAAGCCAGCACAGAATGCACCCCAACAAGTGCATTCAGTCTTCCCTCCACTTACAAATGACATGGGACCAGACCCTCTTGCAAAATCTTTTTTTGGGGGAAGGGGCAGAGGATGCATTTTCCTCCTCCCTGCCAGCACTGTGGGCTGGAGTAGAGCAAGAAGAAAGTGCCCTTTTGGCTTCAGGTGTATTTGCAGAAGTCTTCCTCAAGGGAGCAAGAACTGGGTTTTTACTTACGGTGGTGTGAAAAGAAGTACCCTTTGTTCACATTATTTCAGGAATCTTATGTATGGAAGATGTACCAAGAAAGGTGTTGGGATTTCTTCCCCGCTGGCGACTGTTTTCGGAAGCAATATGAAGATCAGCTGGGATAAATCTGAGTGAAAGAAGTGATTCTGGAAGGTCAACCTTTGGGGAAATGAAATCCTTCCATAGTTCTGCAACATGTTTGTGACATTTTCCACATGCTTCCCTTATGAGAAAGTATTTAAAAATCTGACATTTGGAAATTGATTTGTGCCTAATGGACAGACATCGTGATAACCTGTCAAGATGTTAATAACAAGGGATGGTGAGGAATCTAATACGTTCAAGTTTTCTTAGTTCTAAAGAAACTAGTGTGGGGGATGGCAGTACTGCGGAAAAGGTCAGAAGTATCAATTCTTGAACACCTGAATATCATGTGACAGTATCCCACCGTGACTCATGGTCTGAACTACACGAAATTACATTAACTGCAGTCCAATTTTTCCCATGGTATGTGCTAGTGACGATATCCAGAACCAGCCTGAAAAGCTTTAAGCAGTTAATGAAATAGAAAACAAACCAACACTTTGTCGACACTGAAATATCGATTAAGTGCCTTAAAAACCCCTTTAGATATAGCTATGCAAGTTTTTTATGTTTGTGTTCCAGAAGGACAGTTCCATTAAATAGTTGTGTTGATCTTCTGTCTTACTTTATGAAACTGCACTTGAAGGTTATTCATAATTTTTTTTTTCAGTAACAGCTTGTCACCTGCTGTTATTAGAAGAAAAGTACTGTACTGAGAAAATTCAGAAAAATCTCAATCTTATGCCAAAATTGAGTAATGCTTTATGGTCCCTTGTAAGTAGTGGAGCTGCTAATGTTTAGGTGAATCTCCAATAAAATGAAGTGCCCATTGCAATAAAGTAATACATACCAATCCATGGTTTGGCCTCTCGTACCACTTCTGAATGATTCTATAACCATGCTGGGACTGATGAGGAACGGGACATAAGACAACAGCAACTTCACATAACAAAGAAAAAATCCATGGACCAGAGGGTGTTTATTTTGGCCAAATGCATGCCTTTTTGATTGCATGTAAGTGGGCAGCACCTGCTATGCTGTAAACATCAGAGGAAGGAGGCTATAAAATTCTCTGCCCCTAAGGAAATCTATTAGATTACTAAGCCAGAATGCAACTAGCCTCTGATATGTATTATTTCAAATGCTGCCAAATAAAGAGGTAGGCATCAACTGCTGTAAGCATACAGGAACGCATGGGGTATGCTAGACAACTGAAGGATAGCCTTGTGCCCACCCTCAAGTAGAAGGCAACCAAAATTGCTTCAGGCACTTCCCCCCCCCCCCCTTTCTCTTTAGGAAATCATGCTGTCCAGCCAGTCTTCCAGTTCTTCCTCGGTCACATTTTTTGATGTACTTGGTTGCTCAGATTCCATGTTCTTTTCTTCAGTCACAGATGGTTTTGCAGGAACTAGGGAAATAAAAGCAGTATTAATAACCTTACATTAGTCCCAGCATTGAAGGCTAAAGCTTCCCCAGGGTTTGTTCCAGGATATAATTCAGCTCTAATTATTACTTGCCTTATAACAAGGGGAAACATTCTCATTATTTGTTACTCCCAAAGATGATACAATACTTTCCAAACAAATTAATAAATGGGGGAAGAGATTTGCTTTTATCTTTATTCTGAAGTTAAAAAAAACTAGTAAAAAGTGAATCTTTTTTAGACCAATAGCTCTGTCTTTCCATGGTTACAACAATCGTGAAAAATCATTAATGGTTCTCAAATGCAGTATATGGAGGTGGCCTTCACCACATCAGATGGGATACCATCTCAAAGTGTGCACAAATTACTAAGTATTCTTCACTAAAAAGATGAAAATAGCAAGAAAGTATAAAGAGTTGGTTTACAAGCCTGTTCAGACAGTCGATTAAAAGGTCTGCTGCTGAAAAGCTGAGGGCTACAAGTATCTTAATGCCTTTCCATAGCACAGGTTCAATTTGCAGCCCCAGGGTTAGTGCTGCAGTCAGGCAGGCAGCAGCTTTAGAAGCTCAGTGTATCAAGTGAGAGGAAGGTTGTCAGAAAGGTCAGCTCAGGGGGAAGCAGAGACGTGAGCACAGGAATAGATGTCAGGGACAACGCTGGATCAATGTCAGACACTGAGAGGGCTGTGTAGGGATGTGATGCGAGTGGGGCTGTTCTCACAAAAACACCAGAATCGAGAGAAGGGATGGGGAATAAAATATAAAACATACCTTCTTCCTCTTGGGCCATCTGCCCATCTCTCTCAGATTTCATGTCCTGAGATGTCTGGTCTGGTAAGATGTTATCTCTTTCTTTTACAGGTGATTCTAAATTAAGCAACAGATCTAGTTCTTCTTCCAAATGGTCTGCTGCTGACTGTGGTGGGGAAGTGGGTTTCTGAGAACTTCCTGAAGGATCTGGTCGTGGGCTGTCTTTGGCCAGGGACCCAGGGCAGCCAGCAGTGGAAGATCTCAGCTCAGAGAGGGGCCCCCTTCCTCCAAGCCCCAAGGGCCCCTTTAACTGCATGCCTAGTCCCTTGCTGTCATCACTTCTCTTTGGTTTCACCTGAGGAAGCTCTAAAGGAATTGTGGCCTGAAAGAGAAACAGAATAACTGAGTTTAAAAGGCCCATGTCTTTTAATCACTAGCCTGAAAGCTAACAATGCCATTAATCTATTTGAATTTATACTTAGATCTCTAATGTGACATGAGCATCTGTAAAAGTCACTGAGAAATAATTAGCAAAGCAGATCTGTTCATGGTATTTAAATGCATTAACATAAAGGTACAGAACAAATTCCCCAAGGAGGAAAGAATGACTCTGGGCAATATTATTTAAGTAAAAAATGTCAGACATGAAAGAAAACGTGATTTCACTATGTTTGTAGGAAATTCAAAATAGGCAAAACTAAATATTAAAAGCCAGGACAGTGGTAATCTTTTGAGCAGACTTGAAGAGGAAGTAGATGGTGACTTCCATGGGGTAGAACATTCTGATTCTTGATCTGGATACTGATTTCATAGTTCTATGTGTACACTTTTCTGTATATTACACTTAAATGAAAGTTAAACACTTTCCTCATGATTGCAAGGTTACAGTCTAAGGATGAGAATCCCTCTCTAGAGGGAAGGCTGTGGGGCAAGTGGGCCTCACAGTGGGTAAGTTCAGAAAGGTTCAGCCCCTCTCAGGGGCAACAACCCCTTGTTTTCACTTCAAAGCATTGTTGACAGATCCAGTTGCTAATAACTCCTTGGGGCAAGGAAGGACATAGATAAATACAGATATTTACAGTATGGCACCATAAACTGGGCTAAATGTCTAGCCCTGTCAGTTATACAGAGCAAAGCTGGGATTCTGATCCTAGATTTGACCTAGAATAGGTACCTGGCTTTTTTTCCTTGTTTGTTTTTAATTTCCCAGGTGAATCTACTGTGCACTCAGTATTAGAACTTAATAGCATGGGTGAAATGAGGGGTGGTTCTTCCTTGACTGTTCTCTCTCCATTTCCAATATTACCCCCAAGTCCTGTTCATGTCACCTTAGAAATACCTCTTGATGAACTCTTCTTTGCCATCTGTACCATGATTGAGTCCAGGCTACAGTTTTTCTCACCTGTCCCATGTGACAGCTTTCTACTCTGCCTCCCTCTCACTCTGCCCTCATGTAAGTGCACACACTCACCCATGAAGACACATGCTCCAATCCCGCAGCCTGCTCTCCATTCTGTAGCCTGAATATTCACTGTTGTCATGATCATTTTAGTGAATGCAGACCTGATTGGACCACTTTCCTTTAAATTTTGGCTCAAATATTAGGCCTCAGCTTATCTGTGGCTTCTTTAGAAAAGCCATTCCTAACCACACGACAGTCCAGGACCATTAGTACAATCTCTCATAGCACATTGTCCTTCGTAGGACTTACTATAATTTGTTTGATTATTTGGTACCCCTCTTTCCAACAGATTAAGCTCTAGGGAGGCAGGAACTATACGTCTGCTCACCAGCATTCCTAGTGCCCATTGCAGAAAATGACACACAAATATTTTGAATAAAATAACAGCCAGATTTTATATTCTTTCACTCAATTCCATTACATTTGATCCTTTAAAATTGTGCAAATATAAAATGTGAAAGAGGGATTTAAATTCTTTTGTTCTCTAAACTTCATAAGAAAATCTTAACACAAAACTGTGTGTGAAAGAAAAAACTGAATCCGAGATATTCTGAAGAGGGCCATTTCTCCTCTGGTTCTTCCCCTCCCCTGATAGAATCCATATCAGTTCACAGATACCTTCAGGGTTTTTACCTGGATCAACTCAGCAGCAACGTTGAGTCGGAGTGAGAGTGGCAGTTCTTGAAGGGCTCGAACGAGTGATTCACTGTCCACATAAAGTGCCGAATTCTACACGAATATATGTATATGTATATATTTTTTAAAAGAAAGAAAATATCAGGGAATGATTAAGTATAACCTTTTGGAAATAAAAGATCAAATAAAGTCACTAAATAAATAATTTACTAGAGCTACTTTTGACTGGGAGTAAGATCGTAAGTCACACTAGAGGGGTCACAATCCTTGTCTCCACATTAACTATCTTCTTGGGTCACAGCTCACCCTATCAGAACAGCAGCAGAAGTGTTCCACTCGCTTCAAGATACATAGTAACCTGCAAACCATGAAGCTTTTTGCAATTACTGTCAAGTTGGAGAAAAAACATAAGCATTTAATGAAGTCTAACTGGACATGTTCCCTCAATTCACACTGCTGGCCCTAGGCAGGAGAGGAACGGCTGACTAGGCAGGGAGATGGGACTGTGGGTAGTACAGTCTGCTTCTCTTAAACCAAAAAGTGGAAAGGGGAGAACCCAGAAACACCCTCTCTCCATCCAGCAACATTCCATGTGGAACCATCACTCAGGGCTTTCTTTGGCTACTGTGGTCACTCAGAAATAAAGTAATATCAATGCACCAGCCTCTCAAACTTAACAATATTTGGGAAACATTCCAGATGACCTCTTCGTTCTGAATAGCTACTTCTGGATGTCCTAGCCACCAAAGAGAAACAAAACTTAAAGGTGATACCAATGACCTGCCAAACAGGAAAATACCACTCACCACCTAAATCTGCCACTGACTGTCACAGGGACAGCTAGGATCATGCCCTGACTTCAAGTGGACAGAAACCCATCTCCACACTCCAGTGCTCAAATGCCTCACACATCAATGGGTTTTTAACCAGACACAGAGACACTACTGGTAGACTCAAGCAGTGCCCTGCCACTCCAGACCCACATTAGCCACCAGTCCTCACATTAATAGTACATGGACATGGACAGAAATGACCTGACTTTTCAAGGGCCCTTCTGAAATTGTCCCAAGCGGGCTAGCTCTTGGTAAGCAACCTTGGCAGCACCAAGTGGGATCTTTTGCTAAGTCTGAGTAATTCACACAGATAGCCAGTGAAAAGGTGAGTTCAAGCTTGAAGGACCTGTGTAATTTTAGTCCCCTGAAATATTCCTGAACAGGTGAGGGAAGTAAGAATAAGTTACACATGAATGACAACTTCTCTCTCCATGATGACCCCCTTCAACAATAACAGAAAAGGTGCTGGCATTCAGTCTTAACAAAAACCATTCTAAGTTCAAAACCAACTTATCCCACCTGCTTTGGACATGAAGCTTCACCATCCCATTCTTTCTCCTCAGCAAACCGGAACTGTGTAAAGGAGTCCCCTAGGAATAGAAAAAAAGATTAATGAAAAAAAAAACATACAAAGGATATCACCTAGTTTCTCTAATTCCTTTTTGAAATAAATGTGCCATTTCTGAAGAGCTACCATTCCAAAATTTAGCAATACCATCCTGCAAGGTCTTGGCTCCTACACCTTTACACAGACCTCCTTGCATGGTGGGCATTCAAAAGTACTGTTAGAATTTACATTGTTTCATTCAGTTCTCTGCAAGCCACCATCCACATGCTTCCCAAGGGACAATTAAATAGTTCAGGACTGCAGGAACTGCCAGCTGTCCATATTTAACAGTTTCATTTCATCTGCTTGATGTATGCAAGGAAAGTGATTTGGGGAGGGGCAAGGCAGAAAAGAGAAGAATGGGACTGAAGGAAAGCAGTTCTAGACCAATTCACAGCATAACAGAAAAACTCTCTTCAAGAAGAACTTACTAACTTACACTATCATTCCTAATATCACCTGGGCAAATGTCAAATGCAAAATAAAATTCAAAGAACGTGTATTAGATCATAATGTAAATCATGGCGCACTGCTCCGAGCTCTTGGAATAAGAGAATCTGAACATGTAAGATCAACATAAACAAGCAAAGATGATCCTGTGTGACAAGCTCTGTCACAAGGCTTACTTTATAAACGTACATGTCTGATAATTTGTATTCAGAACAGTTTATATATAAAGAATTCTTCCTCTGCCTAGCTCTCACAATTCTCCAAAATTTAGTCCCATTTCATTAACCCAGAGTTATCATGTATTTCTTCAGACTTCTGTTCCCAAGTCAGGATTGTTTCATATTTCATACATACTTCAAACTCAAAACCCCATCTTTCCTTTTCTTATCCCTTATGTGCTTCTACCCATTCATCTTCTATTTCTATTTCAAGACTCAAGTACAGGCTCACTTACACCCTCTGTGATTCCTCCCAGGTGATGTAACCACAGAACGTGTCCTTTCTTTTAAAGTAACAGGGTGGGGGTGAGGAGAATAATATCTCAGAGATGGATGAAGGTAAAATTAGAACGTACCTCCAACTCCACAGTGTTCAAGACGCATGGATCACAACATTAACATGATAAGATCAAATACAAGGACAAAAGACTAAGAAAAAAATGTAAAATCACTACTTTTAGTCATTGGTAAATCAATTTAATCCCTCAAAGATTGTAATAAAAGTCTCTGAATAACTATTACTAAGGTCCTGTGTATGTATGTGAACACACTTACACGTGCATTTATGTATTCTGATTGTGTGAGCGCTTATTATAAAAATGTCCGTGCAACATTAATTTGTTTAAAGTGACCTTAATAAGACCACAAAAAACTCAAATTCTAAAATTTAGCAGTCATAAGCCATATTCACTGGTGATAGTAAGTAAAACATAAATTAGTCAAAAGTAAAAATAACCAAAACCATTTAGAAATTGTAAAATTCTCTTCCAGGACTTTTTATCAGGAGAAATAAAACTATAGAATTAAAATATAGAAAAATAAATTAATAAAAGTCTACCAATAAGATGTGAGTAAAACTGTCCTCAGCTAAAGAGGTGAAGTCTCAATAACTTCATTACTGATAAGGAATGCACAAAAAGAAAGCAGTCAATTGTTTTACCATGTTAGGAAAAAAAGAAAAGAAAAAGAAGCTGGTGAAAAAAAGCAATAATTTTCTTAAAATTGAATAAGCAAACACACTAGTCTTCCAGTCTTCTTATCTAACTAACTAAAAGTCAGGGGGACTAAGCTTAAAGATATAAACTAACACCATTGTTGTCTGTTTTTGAAAGAACAGTCAGTACAATTAAAGGAGAGAGAGAGTGAAGATGTTATCATTGGAAAAAAGTGGATAAAATATGATAACTTGAAGAAAATAAACTCAAGTACCCTGGAAAAAAGGAATTGATGAAAAAGGATTTAGAAAGGTGGCCCAGTTCCAAAATATACATTAAAAAATAAAACAGTTCTCGCAAATAAAATCCAGATGAAAAGCCAACTGGAAGAAAATATTTCATTCATGATAGCAATAATATAGCCAAAATCTTTAGGAATGAACCAGGAATAAACATTTACTGAAAGAAACTATTTTTAAAATTTTTACCAAGAGAGATGAGAAACTCAACAGTATAAAGATTACAAGTTTACTTAATTTAACTTAAAATTCAATGTTGAATTCAAATCCCAAAAGGATTTTTTTCAACATCCAAATTGCTCAAATTCATCTTAAAAATATATAAAACTGGGCTGGGGCTGTAGTTTAGCAGTAGAGAGCTTGCCTTGCATGGGTGAGGCAGTAGGTTCTATCCTCAGCACCACATAAAAATAAATACATAAATAAAGATACTGTGTCCATCTACAATTATATATATACATATATATATATACACACACACACACACACACACATGCACACACACAAATATACATATTTGTGTGTATATAACTGATAGGCTTTTTCAAATAAAGGGGGGGGGGGATGAAGAAATTGTTTTATTATATAATGTATTCCAAAGCCTCAATGAATAAAATAGCAACTGATGAAAAAAAGTGATGAGTGAAAGAAGAAAATCTAGAAATAGATCCATGTATGTAGATATCTATATATCAGAGGAGCAGCCTATGATATCTGTAGAGAAATAAATTATTTAATAGTATTAAAGCACCTGGCTAGCCATGTAGTAAATTAGGCTACAGCCCTATATGTCATGTTCTACATGGATTAAATATTTAGACATTAAAAAAAATAACACTATAACATGAAAGTAGGACTGAATTTACTATCTTGAAGTGGGAGTATAAATTAAATACTGCAAAAATACATAAAAATGAAAATATTCTACCATAATAATTTTAAAATATATATATAGCATATATTACAGATAGAACACGAGCTTCTGCAAACCAATCAAAATAAAGCCTTTTCAGAGGAAAATGACACTATCAACAGCCCAATATTATGTCTACAATTTTTCCACACACTATTCAAAACTGACTAAAAACCATCATGCATACCACCAGGAGATGAGACTAAAATAACCAAATGCTAAGAGAAAGAAAGGATGAAAGGAAAAAAGAAGAGACAATAGAAAAATATCCACATAGATTAAGATAACTGTAGATGTCACACATGGATCTTGTAATTTACCACATCCAAGTTTAAAGACAGAAAAAACAGAAAATCATAAACAATGACATCCAAGAAGTCATGAAGTCCCCTTTGAGCTACACTAAATAAAGGATACACATCAAGAAGAAGGTTAGAGAAAACCAAAATAACCTCAAGCACATTGTTTTATGTAATCAAACTTCAAAACAATACAATTTGAAGAATACTTTTTAAAAAATGACTACTATAGAACATTAACCTATCTAATTCTGTCATTGAGGATAAAAGAGTATTAGGACTTTTCAAAACATGAATCCTAGGACCAGAAGTCCTTTGGGAAACATATTACCAAAATACTTTCTGAATTATATGTAACATGCACAAAAAGAATGGTGGTATTACCAAGTGACCTATTGCTGTACCTTACACAGACACATGGATGTGCATAAACAATCAGAGACCTCCTTTAAATAAGACAGTGTTTTCAATTCTGCTCCAGTTTAATCCAGTTGCCAGAAAAGTTCCTGTCTCTCACACTAATGTAGCAAATCTGACTAAAGAGGTCTAGAATAGAAAGTCTGTCATGAACAGTGACAGTCAACTGTTGACAATGGAACAAACATGGTGAAGTTTGTCTTAAGAGTCATAAGTGTTCATCAGAAAGTAATTACAGCACAATGTAATAAACAGAAAGCACAAAGGGAATATACCACTTTCTTCCTGTTTCTGCCAATGACTCACTTCATGACTTAGTGATTGCACAATGGTCTTGTGTACTTATATGATATCCTCAAATAAGATGAAAAAGAAGATCAAGCTTGTTAATAGCCTGCATGAATAATTAAATCCCATAATATTCAACTTTGAAGATTAAGAATACCAGGCCTACTAAATCCGATGATTACTTATTAAGAAGGTACTTAGACAACCTGCTTTAAAAAAGGAAGCGAGATGGTAAAACTGATTTACAGCAAGAGCTCACATTTTCCTTACACGATCAAAGGCTCCCATTATTCTATTCCAGCAGCAGTGTTCAAAGTGGATGTGTGCACACAAAAGCTGAGATGCAGGAGATGGTAAGGCACTACTGTTGTACTCTAAAAGTTAACTATGTTGCTCTATTGACAGCTTGGATCATTTCTACAGTCAAAATTAATGATTTTTTTAAAATTCAGTAATTGTGTGAAGTATATTAGAAATAAAAAATATGTAAGATTTGAAAGCAATCCTAAATATGTTTCTGTAAATAGTAAAAAAATGTTTCAAGCGTGACACAACACTTCAATTTCTGGGGTTCCCACAGTACCACTCCTGACCATTGAACAGACCTCTAAGTCTAGGGGTTGATGAGTCTTTACCTGATCAGTTACTGAGAGGATGGTAAGCTTAACTGTGTAAAAACAACACTGCCTTGCCAGGACTCCATTCTGGCAGAGCTAATCAAAGTATATTACTCCTCTACCTACCATCATTGAAAATTGTCTCTATTGAGTATATTGAATATTGCAAATGCATGGTATATATGTGAGCCCATCTAATAGCTGGCAGTAGTGAGAAATCAGAAGGCCTATATACTATCAGAATTAAGCCTGGCTACTAAAAACTTTATAATAAAATTTCAAAATAGTTCTTGAAATTTCAGATTTTTTCTTATATCCCAAAAGTCCCTTCTACAACTGTGATATTTGACTTTAATGTCAGCCAAGTATGTTTAACACCTGACCACTTGAACAAAATGTGTTTTGGTGAACCAATATTCAGTTAAGTGACATTCTATGAGAACATTTAAACTATTTAGGTAGATCTATAGGTACTGACCCAGAAAAATACCCCTCATCTCAATTGCACAGGAAAAAAGCAAGTTTTAGGTCAGTGTGAATAAGATAG